CGCCTGTCACGGCCACAATGGCTCCCTGCAGAGACAGAGCACAGAAGCCTTGAGGGAAAGATGCATTGTGTGTGTAGGAGTTGTACTCAGACAGAGAATTAAAAAAGAAGTACAAATGACAATGAACTCCATTTCCAAAAAGTCACGCAAGCTCAGAACTTCTCTGCAACAGGTGTCACAGCCACTTCAGAGAAAAAGCCCCATTCTTGCCGTTGAGTGACATTTCCATTACTTACACTGCATCACACAGCGGCTTTTCTTTCACACAACAGGGAATTATTCTGTTTTCAAAAAGGTTTCAGGGCAATTCTACTTCATCCGACAGTACAGACGAGATAAAAGTGAGGAGGAGACAGAGGTGGAATCAGACGACATACAGAGCTTGTATTCTGGCGAAACTGTGAAGATAATCAGTTGATGTGCTGCATGCTGATTACAGATATGGGATTTCCATGAGAGAAACATTGTTTTTATCATTCGGTATCTTCCCGGCTGTGTTGCGTATGTATTCAAATCCAAACATTTTAATTTTGGTCAAAGTTTGTATATTTTAGCGCGAAAAATCTATTTTCGCACGTGTGCAGACGTAGGTTTCTGCATGAAAATATTCTAAATATAGCCAAAAGTGAATGGAGAGACATTTGAAATACAACCTCTGTAATCTGCACTGCAAATAGCTTGGAGTGTCCGAGTTACTGAGGAAGTGAATTTAAGTTACTGGGTTCATAACAGGAAATATCAATAAGTCATCATTGATCCCTTCCCACTCCTTTAGGAAATATTTGGGAAACACTGGAATACAATATGCTAATTCGTTTTCAACTATTTCAGTAGAAATGGATTATGTAGTCGGGGTTTTGTTAAATATTAAACGTCAAGAGATGAAACTGACATTGTATCAGAATAATATAATATTCGTGGTTGCCCTTGATGAGGCGATAATTAACAAAAAGATTTATATATAAATAAATCCATCGTCCAATTCCACACTAAACAGAGTTCTCTGCCTACTGATGCACTCATGAATATTCATGCAAGGTCACAGCTTGACAGATGCTATGCTTGATTATTCCGCCAACTTAAGTCATCAGACCAAAGCAATAATCCAAAATAAGCATTGGGGATAGGGATATCAAATATGCACACATGAATTTACATAATAAGGCGTCGGCACATGCTGTGTTTGTGTTCATGTTTTTCCAGTTTGCCAAACACTACAGAGGCTCAGAGGAGCAGGGAAATGTCCTCCCTGACACACAAACACCTCCTTGTTTGTTTAGTTCCTACCTGTCTCTGGCAGCCCTCCACAATGATCAGTTTCTGCTGCGGGGAGGTTCTGGCGAAAACAATCTCAGTGTGGTACTTCAGGATGTCGTCAAGCTGCTCGGGCGCCAGATCTTTCAGGTCTCCGCCATGGACGACACAGGCCTTGGCATCTCTGGAGTATACAAAGCAATTTGGTTACGTAAACGCAGTTGCACTAGATTAATCAGAAACGGGTTTCTGAGGTCTGAAACAAATGGGGCCCAGAACATGATCTTGGGGTACTCCAGGTGCAGTTGTGTTTCCATGAAAACTGGAACAAAACGCACCCAGGGTTCCTCAGTATTGTCAGTACCTTGGGTTGACTTCGTTGATTGGGATGTTCAGACGGGCCGCAATGTCTTCAACGGTCTCGTTGCCTTCGGAGATGATGCCCACACCCTTAGCAATAGCCTTGGCTGTGATTGGATGATCACCTGTCACCATGATGACCTGGAAAGAGAGGAACACTTATCAAGCCTGAGCATTATACTTTAAATGTGATGGAATTAGCTTCATGTTGACTCTGCATTAGAGTCAACAAGTCATTTCCATGATATTGTGGGCTTTACCTTGATTCCGGCGCTCCTGCATTTGCCGACTGCGTCGGGCACAGCAGCACGAGGAGGGTCGATCATGGACATGAGGCCGATGAAGCACAGGTTCTCAGTGGGGAAGTTCACCTCCTCAGTGTCAAAAGCAAAGCCCTCTGGGAACTGGTCATCAGGCATGCTGAAGTGGCAGAAACCTGGAAGGGAGACAAGAAAAACATGAATGAAGAGATTTTCAGAGTGGTTTCTGCTCTGTTAATTCATTTATTAATTTCAATCCCAGCTGCCATCCATCCTTACCCAGCACTCTCTCTCCCAGACCCCCCAGTTCCAGGTATGCGTTCTGGAAAGAGTCCTTCAGCTCATCGTCCAGAGGCTGCTCTTTGCCATGCAACAGGATGGTGGAGCAGCGGTCCAAAATCCTCTCTGGGGCGCCTTTCATCACCAGCAGGTGCTGGGACCCTGTTTCAGGTGTGTCATTTTTGTGAATGGAGAGCTAGGTGCACAGAGGTAAAAAAGTAATTAATATCTCTAACAGCATCTGAAAACAACATGAACAATTGGTTTCCGTATATTAAATGATTGATTAAACTGGAATCTAGCTCCTCGTTCCATACCTGGTACTTGTTAGTAGAGTTGAACGGGATCTCAGAAATTTTGGGGGTTTTGTTTCTCATTTCCAGGACTGATCCGCAGCACAGCTCGATGCATTTCAGCAGAGCCGACTCAGAGGCGTCACCGGCCACATCTCTCTGGTGGGGGAAGATGGAGAACATTAACCTCAACAAACGGCGACTCCATAAACTCAATGCGTCGCTGTGAAAGCCTCCTGAGGACGGACACGAGGATGTGGCACAAGGCCTGGTACCACCGACTGCGTTTCAAATAGTAAGGTTATAGTGAAGTAGTGAGTATTTAATTAGATTAAAAAAAGATTATATTGCACAAATTGGGAGTGTTTGCAAATGGATGTTTTGATATAGTTTTGCTTTTTCTTCTCTTTAATTCTTTGTTCACTGTTGAGGCATGAGAGAATAACAGTCTTCTTCAGGAATTAAACTCAACACGGGTAGTGTAGTTGATATACATGTCATTTTTTGGGGTGAAATATTCCTTAACGCCAATGGTGTAACTCCCTCACTCAGTAAATCAGAGACAGATGTTTATAGAGCTGGCCCCGCTTTGCTGCAAACCAGCCAAGAATAATGCGTAACGACAGGGAATGACTGGTAATTAGAGCCATGATGCCAGCCAGTTACAGGTGACACACACACACACACACACACACACACACACACACACACACACACACGAGACCGGGCTCCAAGGGAAATTCTGGGAGCCAAGAGACATGCGTACATCTGTGTGCGTGTGTTTGCCAGTGTTCGGTATAATCATGCGGTTACAAAATGTGTGTGTTTACTCCAGGGAGGGAGGTATACGCTGGAAAACAAGCCTGTTGGGCTGAGAGGAAAGCATCTCCATAACGTGCATGTATTGTTGCTGAAGTGATGGGCAGCTGTTGTATATTGCATTCCAGGAGGTGTGAATTTGTATGAATCTTTTAAAATACATTGCAGTCTCTTGTCCCTCATCAGATTTGAACAAACACTCATCTTTTATGAAGAACACTTGAACAGGTGTTGGCATTGCTAGAAATGAAATGAAGCCAATATCAGTAAAAGAAAAAAGAACAATAGGGACACTTGTTTGGTTTTACTGTAATTTTCAAACTGTTTGAAAAAGGGCACATTGAGATTGAAAGATGAGTCGGCAGTACAGGTAAATCCTGCCCACATAATGAGCAACAGAAAAAAAGCTTTATTGTTGTTGAACAAAAGAGGACTTCTGCTTTTAGTTCAAAGAGCTAAATTATTTGTCTGATAACATCAGCCCTGAAAAAAGGGCTGTTGTCTCAGAGAAGCCTTAATATTTGGCATTATGTATTCAAGTATTCGATTGCAGGGTACATAAACCCACCTTCAGGATGGGAAGGTTGGACTGCTCTGCCAGGAAGACGGCGCGGTTACACAGTCCGGCGACTCTGGCCAGGGCAGCCCAGGTGGCAGAGCTCTTGTCGAAGGAGGTGCCGCTCTGGTTCTCTGTGGTGTCGGCCTCGTGGATCTGGTTGTCGAACCACATGTGGGCCACGGTCATCCGATTCTGGGTCAGGGTGCCGGTCTTGTCGGAGCAGATGGTGGAGGTGGAGCCCAGGGTCTCGACAGCTTCCAAGTTCTTCACCAGGCAGTTCTTCTTCGCCATACGCTTAGCAGTCAGAGTCAGACACACCTGGAGACGGGAATCAAGTATTTCTAACAGTAAGATCTCCACTCCTTGCATCAAATATGATCTATTGAAAATGAAACTCAGGGCAGAAATGCTGGTAAACTCACAGTGACTGTAGCTAGGAGACCTTCTGGAACGTTGGCCACAATGATACCGATGAGGAAGATGACGGCCTCCAGCCAGCTGTATCCGAGGATGAGCGAGAGGACGAAGAAGGAAACGCCCAGGAAGATGGCCACGCCGGTGATGATGTGGATGAAGTGCTCGATCTCGATTGAAATGGGGGTGCGTCCAACTTCAAGGCCAGAGGCCAGCGTGGCGATGCGCCCCATGACGGTACGGTCTCCGGTGCTGATCACGACACCACGGGCCGTTCCTGTAGCAAGGATGATTACATTTTTTTATTGAATTTCTTTTCAACAGCAAACATCTGTTTCATTACATAGTCTCTGAACTACAGACGAAATGCAGCACCGTCTCTGAATGGCTTTTATGCATCCTGTTGTCGTACCTTCAACACAGTTGGTGGAGAAGAAAGCAATGTTCCTGGTCTCCAGCGGGTTCTCATTGGAGAAGTCAGGAGTACGAGTCTGGGGCTCTGATTCGCCGGTCAGAGAGGAGTTGTCCACCTGAGAAATGAAACAAACTGTGATTGATGGAAGACGGAATATCAATGTGGCTGCAGGAAAAGAAACATAAAAACTGGGAAGAATGCGACCACAAACAAACTTTATCCTCCATATGTGGCTAGTGGAAAAGCATGAGCAATAAATGGGTCAAGTGTTGCTCTAGGGTGTTGAGTTTAGTTCAGGGCTTAAAATGGGTCACAGACTGGTTGACTTCCACTAGTCACACAAAAAAAAGACCGCAAAGGGAGGCATACTCTGATAATGAAATGTCAGCGATATGAATGGTTTTAACTCAATTAATATGGGACCTGGAGAGATGAAAAATAACACGCACCTTGCAGCCGTGGGCGGAGATGATTCTCAGATCAGCGGGGATCCGGTCTCCACCCTTCACCTCCACTAAATCACCGACCACCACCTCCTCAGCGTTGATGCACTTCTTCTCGCCGTCACGGACGACCAGGGCTTGCTACGAGACGAGACATGACGGAGATGCATGTGAGACAAAGAGACTGATTGCTTCATTTTTTTTGGTCCGTTTTAACTGCTGTTGCTTCTTAGTATGTTTATGAATGTATAAAACGTTGATGCAGAAATCAAAAGTAAACAGTTAAATGAATAAAAGGTGTAAAACGGGAGGGGCACCTGTGGGACCAGGTTCTTGAAGGAGTCCATGATCTTGGAGCTCTTGGCCTCTTGGTAGTAGGAGAAGCAGCCAGTGATGATAACGACAGCAGAAAGCACGACACCCAGGTACAACTGTGAACGTGAGACGAGGTTAAAGAGGTTTGACCCAGTGGTTCAGCTTCTGATTTAATGTAAATCTCATGAAATGTTTTACATCAAGACACTACACAGGCTACAAGGACCTTTTCTTACATTGTCATTAGCTGGCTCATCCTCCATTACAGCCTGGATACCATAGGCCAGGAAACAGAGGACGGCGCCAGTCCACAGAAGCATGGAGAACCCGCCAAACATCTGAAGGAAAACAGAACAGGAGGGACCTGCTAAGCCTGAAATTTGAATGAGCACCTGAACTGAGCTTCAACACGGACGCTAAAGGCGTCAATATAAACAACTGTAGGAAAGACAATGTGCTCATCACGGCCCTGCAGCACCAACACAGACAGCGGATGTTACCTGTTTGCAGAATTTGACCCACTCTGGGGTGGTGGGAGGAGGAGTGAGGGCGTTGGGTCCATCACGAATCAGAATCTCAGCAGCCTTCGCACAAGTCAAACCCTGATGTGAGCAGAAGATACACGTGTTGACAATTCAGCCACATTTAAAAGCACACTGCAGGCCAGCTACACGCGTACACACAAACAAGTCCATGGGGGACTGTAGGTGCTACTAGTTGGCTGGCAACACACCATCAACAGAAAAACAGGACGACTTCCTTCATCAGCAGGTAGGAGGAAGAAAATCAGAAGGAAGAGGAGGAAGAAAAGAGGATAAATACACATTTTCCTCTTCATCTCACTCACATTGTTGAGGTCTGTTCCATATTTGCGATTGAGCTCATCAAGGGTCAGCTTGTGATCATCCTGCGAGAACGACAGAGAAAAGAAGGCGGCGTCAGTTCAGCGCTTATGTCTGCCGCATGTGTGTATCCACAATATGTGTGTGTGTGTGTGTTCAATATGCAGGTGACATTCAGCGCTCATTGTGTGCCGACCTTTCCGTTTTACAAATGACCACCTTTCACATGGTGGAGCTGCGACAGAAACAGTCAGAGGTGACGGAATGAGGAGCCAACAAGACACGGGGGAGGTGAGAGGAAGTAGAGAAAGGAGGAGGATAAAAGGGAAGTAATGAGGAGGAAGAGCAGAGGAAGATTGCAGGTGAGCAATACGTCGAGAAAAGAAAGGCATGAAATGAAGTGAGGAGGGAAGGAGAAAGCTGCATGAAAAAAAAAAAAAGAAGAAAGTAAGTGTTTTACGATGAAAGACAGGAGGCAAGAAGAGGTACTTGAAGGGAGGAGAGGCAGAGGGAATAAAACCCACACAATAGAGAAGACAGGGTAGTGATATGGGAAGCAGGAGACAATCAGAGGAAGAGCACCTGAGGACGACGAGAAGAGTGAAAAAAACCCAATGTGCAGCTGAGACACTCACCATATCCACTTCCTTCTTCAGCTCATCCATATCCTTCTCTTTCTTCTTCCCCTTCGCCTTCTTCTTGCTGACCTGCTCCGAGGTCGCAGCCAGCTCATACTGCTCGCGGCCTTCCTGGAGACGCAAAATAAACATTGATAAGTAAGATATAATATAAATGATGAGAGGAGATGGAGGCTGGTCAATCGAGACACAACATAGTGAAAGCACAACAGGTCCAGGATCACAAATATGTGGATCCTGTCTTTGTGGACACCAGAGCCACCAAGAGGGAGGAGCAAACGTCTGGCAGTTTTTGGTCAGTTTTTGACAGATCAGGCGGGAGGGTGAAAACAAAACGCTCTTGTTTAAACACCCACGTTGGCACTAAAGGGTGCCACTGTGTGAGTGAGGAAAAGCACACAACGTTTCCCTCATTCACCAGCTTTCTTAAACATAACCTCACCAATTAAGTAGCTCAGCCAAACCCCACAGAGGAGCAAACACCCACACTGGAGTCTGTTACTGCTAATCACACTTTGGGACATTTTGTTGATTTTCACTCCGACTGCGACACAAACTCTCTCGCTGTAGGCGGGAACGATTTTAATTAAAAGATAGTTGAACCTGGATCTCACACACACACACGCACACACACACAGTCCATACTGTGTGTGTCTTCCCCCATCACACCATGAGTGCCGGCCCCTTTCTCTCCGCTGTCTCCTCCACACACATCCCCTCTCACTATTGGCGGCCACCGTGGCTGACGGAGCAACAAAAGGTTGTGTCTTCTAGACGGCTGAAAGCCAGACGGTGTGTGTGTGTGTGTGTGTGTGTGAGAGGCAGAGTGACGGAGAGAAGGTGAGATGGGGAGGAAGACAAGCACTAAAGTGAAAGTTCAAAGACAGGTAGATCACACAGGAGGAAACAACAAAACGATTTCCATCATCCCTTAACTAACACAAAATAATTTGCCATGTCAGTGTCAAACATCTGCATCCTTGTTGCTACCAGCACCTGTGTGAGCCCACACTCCATTTATAGAAATGTGTTTAATCACAGGGAGTTAAGAGCGTGTGTGCTTCAGGTAGGCAACAGGAGATCGCAACACTAGAAGCCGACATCGATTAGCTGTTAAGGCTCATCTATAATCCAGCACTGCACACGGATCAGAGGTGTTAGCATGTCAGCAGGGAGGCTGCCCAAACGAGCCAAGTGTCTGCATGTGCAACAGCCATTTTGAAGGCGATATACTTGACATAAAAACGACCCACGTGTGGCTGCCCCACCGCCGGTGTGACCACATGTGGACATGCTGCACACAGTGCCGGTCATGGAAATATGCTAACTAATATAGTGTTTCTGCTGCGTTGGCCTTTTAAAGTTTCCCAGGGAGTCACCAGAGCGGGAGAGTGTGATCCCAGCACATGTTATTGTTGATCCAGCCCCCCCCCGGCCGGCCAAGCTGGGAAAACACAGAGCCTGGTTCTGGATCACTGCGGCCAGATCCCACCCTCTGGACCCCGAGGACCCCCAGGGGCCCATCTGGCCCGAGGCAAATAATTCACAAACGGGGCAGAAGTACTAGAGGTTTGAGCCTCATTTTAAGCGCCAATACTTATTTTGGAGGCAACACTAGTTTGTAATTCTGCAAATATATAAATATTGTAATTCTAATTAGTGTGAGTTTGGCGACTGCACGTACAGTAATCTCAAAACACCTGTGCAGAGCCTTCAAGGGAGAGTCCCATTAGATGGTTTCACTTATCACTCTAGACTGAGCTTCAGAGATAACAGTCGGGGATTAATCAGCTTACTCACATCGTACAGAAATGAGCTCCAGGCTACCTGCGCTAATCTAACACGAGACGCTTCTATTTGTCCATGTTAGTTAACGTTTTACAGGATGCTCCTGCAGTAGAGACGTATAGTGGGCACTGGTCGCGGATCTGGTCCCAAACTTTTTGGTATGCACCATAGGCATCAAAAGGTGAAATCTGTTGGTTTTACTTTTTATTTTGTATGCAGCACTGTTTTCCATAAAAGACAAAGTTCTCCCACAGGAGACGAGGAAGTAATCCCCAACCACGAGGAGCAGCATTCAAGGTTAGCGTCACCATATTGATAAAAAAAAAAAAAGAATCAAAGTATAAGGAGGAACAAAGGGAAGGAGGGGAGAGGGTGAGAGGAGGGCATGGAGAGCAGATCTGGAGGGATGCTCTCCAGAGAAGATGTGGTGGATGAAAAACAAACACAAACAGAAGCCTACTGGACACAGAACAATGGCCCTTTGTACAACTTCCATAAAATCCGCATCAAAAACAAACAAAAGGCTCAAATCTTTCCATGAGACCGTTAAGACCACGAGCATGGGGCCACTCCATCCGACGAGCGCTGCGTTTCTTTCCTTCAAGCCCTTAATGGAGATTTGTGGGGATTTTCTAAATGGACTATGGCCAAGGAACAAAACTTTACAAAAATGCAGCTTATTTACGTGTGTTACAGATCGAGACGCCTCATTCAGTGACGTCAAGTTTGAGAGAAAGGCAGGATTTGTGTGAGAACTGGACTCTGAGAACCCCTTCAGATAGATGAATGAACGATTCTCTCTGAATACCAATGAAACCCCAAAAACACAAGAATTCTTGAGGCCCCCCCTACTGCTTTTTTTCCCCTCGCCTGAGAGAACAACGACCTACGGGCTCAAACCGACATCAGAGGAGAGCGCTCGGTCAAGCGGACGCATATTTTAAAGCATGCACTGGTTTTTACAGGCATGGTGAATTCCTACGAACTATCCTCCCGAGTGCCAGCAGGGTCTTTAGCCAGATACACAAGCTGCTCATTCAACTGTGCCGACGCCGACGCACACACACACGCACACGCACACACACACACACACACACACGGGACTTTGCCCGGTTGCTACCAGCGACTATTACCACACCTATTCAGATATGTGAATGGACAGAGTCAAGTGTTGTAGCCCCCCCCCCCTCTGCCTGCCTGCCTGCCTGCCTGCCTGCCTCCTCCTCCACTCGTTCATTTCCTCCATTTCCACCCGTGTTTTTCTCTCTCGCTCCTGTTTAAAGAGTGAAAAGAAAGGGTGTTAATTTACACACTCGGTCGTGTTTAACACTCCGTTCACGTCCTGAGCATCTCTCAGCTTTCCTCCAGCAGAACAAAAGTGAATGAATGAATCAATGTGTGTCCTTGTTGGAAACTTTGCGGGAACTTGTTTTTTTTTTTTAACCGCCAGAGTGACGCACGACGACACCGACATGAAAGATGAACAGACGGCCACCATCAGCTTCCAGCGCGTTTGTTGATCATGTGAACGTGGTGTCACCCGACTCATCTCTTGACACTATAATCTCTGTTAAATAGGACAACCTGCTGCTGACACAGACATGGCTCTTAATGAAAGTCACCTTTCACAGAGTCACAATCCACAATATTTCTTCAAAAGCTTTGTGACCACAGGGTCTTCTAACACAGCGCTGCTTTGGACTAGAATGAATGAACCAGTAAATCAACGGCTCTTCCCCCCCCCCCACTTTTGGGCCTTTAGCCACACCTACACGACATCAACCGGCCAACACAACATAGCTGCAAGTTGCATCACTTCCTCAAACCTCCCGCGTTTTCCTGTTGTCATAATCACACGAACAAAGTAGCCTCTGATTCAGGTTTCAGTACCTGACCTGGATTATGGGTTTTCTTTTGGTCACATGTCCTCATGGACAGACACAGAGGGACAGTGTCCTCTGGAGTGTTTTTTTTTTCTCTCGACGCGACTGTTCGCAGTGAAAGTTCAAAGAGCCGCTCAAGCTGCTTTGCCAAACACACACACACACACACACACACACACACACACACACAGAGATGGTATGTGAAAGAATGGGAGAAAGAGAGGGAGGCAGGCCGGAGAGGAAAGCAAAGAGGGAAAGAAAAGAGAAATGAGAGATGAAACACGGCACAACAACGAGGTGAAGGGAATTACAGGAAGAAGAAAAAAAGAGAGAAAGAAGGAGAGAGGGAGTTCGCCGTGTTCTGTCACAGACGAGAGGTGGCGTGTGACAAAAGCTCTGGTTAATACACAATGACTGCCGAGCAGAAAGAATGTTAAATCCTCAGAGAGAGGGAGAGAGAGAGAGGGGGAGAGAGAGGGGGTCAGAGGGAAGGAAAACAGGTACAAACGCAGAGAACAAGAGGGAAACAGACTGTAAAGAATGGATGTGAAGGTGGAGTCGCGGTGCCCCTTCGGCTGAGATGAAAAGTGGCCGGGGGCTGACATGCTTGGTCAGCTCACAGTGGGAGGAACCATGGGGGGGGTGGTTGGTTTGTGGTCCAGTGTCGCCATCTCTGGCCACTAAAGAGATAAATCCTCCGTTGGGGAATTCACCGTCTCCTTTCTCCCAAAAGAAAAGACGCCTTTAAATCTCCCCAAAAGACAAGTGATGTACACACTGGAGAGGCGTTCGCTAACAATGCAAACAAGGATATCAAGCGAGTGAGATACAAGAATATTTACGTTTTGGGATGAAATATGCTTTTGAATTGCTGCCAACTTTATAACTGAGTCAATTAGGGAGAAGAAGAAGGTATGTTGACTCAGGTGAGATTATGAAATATTTAGATGGACCCCCCCTCCCCCCTCGTCGGTCTCCTGTGAGTTTGACAGCTGTCTCCTAGTTTCTGCTCTGCATCGCTGCCCAGTAAACCAGTCACACTGTGCTGAAGACTGCCGACTGTTTTATACGTCTTGAGCTCTATATCTGCATTCATTCAGAAAAGAGAAATCATCCACTAACATATAGACAGATGACATCTGTATTCATGTATTCACGTATCCCTTCATCTAAAGCTCAGCACTTTAGAAATGTAGCAGTATTCAGCCTCCGTCACGTCTGGGAGCAAAGTTGCTTAACGGTGGCAATGCGGCAACTGGTGCCTTTTGGCTCCCCCTAATATGCCCCCCCTTCTCCCACCAGGAGAGCTCTGTGGTGGCGATCATCTCCTCCAAGTTTAGCCATTTGTTTGTGCCTGCACTGAATGTATGAGGGGAGAGGAGGGAAGGAGGGAGACTCAGTGGGGAAGAGGAGGGAGGTTGGATGGGGGCAGGGCATGGCTTTCATCACATATGGGAGGAAAATCAGCAGCAGAGGAGCCAAAGGGACCGTGAGTGAGCATCATGGAGAAAGAGGAGAAAGGAAGCGAGACTGAATGAGCCATTCTGCTTCACTTCTCCCACTAGATCTCTCTTGGTCCATCTCCACACACACACACACACACACACACACACACACACACACACACACAC